ATCTTGGATTATTGAGGATATGCATGTTACGTCAAGAGAGGGGTCACGCTAATTTTTTTATCTTGAGAGTAAGCGATCAACATGGGTCCAAAACGTCGTTTCTGGTTGTTGTCTGAAATTTAGAAATGATTAAAAACATTTCAAACAATTTTGGAATGTTACTCGGTCATTTTAGAATAGTTTTATATAGTCAACCCAACTCCTGACATCATCAAAACCATATCGAGAACACCAATTTCGAGAACTAAGCAAGATATGACAAATCGGTAATAAAGTTTAACATACAATTTTAAGAGTTCTTTTGAATGAGACAAACTATTTTTTTATTGCCAATGTCCTTTTAAGGTGCGTTTAACACTAGAAATTAAATCGCATGCAGCAAGTTCAAACGGGCCTTATAAATTTCCTATGGTTGAATATTCTTCACTGGTTCTTACCACAGGATCACATTGATCGTAGATATTAAACAATCTCTCGCAGACAATCTGAGGCATGACGGCTTTCTCCGTTTCCTCACCAGGACGAAATCCCCGTAGGGTGAAAAATACCGCTAATGGTGAACCGACCAGAAAGCAATTGGTAACCTAGAAATGGAATAATACCGTGACAGATTACATTTTAAGAGTTCACATCGTCGTGCAGTAGATGGTGGTCAAGTTATCAGAAAAAATAACGTTAATTCTTGCCGATTGTAAATTTATGTGGTGGTCTAATGGCCTAGAGTTGAGAAGTGAGAGTTTGTTCAAACGAGAAAAAGAGTTGTATGAGAGTTGAGAAGCGAGAGTTTGTGTGAGAGTTTTCTCAACTATCGTGCCCCGGTCAAACGAGAACAAGAGTTGCATGAGAGTTGATGAGAGTTGAGAAGCGAGAGTTTGCCCCTGTCAAACGAGAACAAGGGTTGCATGAGAGTTGAGAAGCGAGAGTTTGTATGAGAGTTTTCTCAACTCTCATGCCCCGGTCAAACGAGAAGCGAGAGTTTTCCCCTGTCAAACGAGAACAAGGGTTGCATGAGAGTTGAGAAGCGAGAGTTTGTATGAGAGTTTTCTCAACTCTCATGCCCCGGTCAAACGAGAAGCGAGAGTTTTCCCCTGTCAAACGAGAACAAGAGTTGCACGAGAGTTGCATGAGAGTTGACTGGATATTACCACGCTCGTAGCGAAAACTCTCATCAACTTTCATCAAAATTTGAACCAGCTCAAAGTTGATGAGAGTGCATGTGAGTTGATAAGAGTTGGTGTTCATACGCGAGCAAGAATTTTCTTCCTTCTATAAAGCCACAGTCAAACGTTGAGAGGTGCCACCACGAATTTCTACAGGGGCATTTCAAGCTCTAGATTAACGAAATAAAGATTTGATAGGTGTTTCAACTATACGTTTTAACTAAAATACATGATAGTGTTGGGGAAGCATTAAGAACAGCTAACCAAGCTCGCGTGACTGTCAACACTTATACACTCTCATCCTTAAAGCCCGGATTAAACGAGGATGTATTGTATTTAAGTTAAAACATAGTTGGAACATTTATCACACTAACACCTGTATTCTAAAAGCTCACTCACTCTTTGCTCACACTCAAAGAGTGGAGGTTCAATCTGAGCTTCCCCAGTTGAGTGTCAGTGCAGTTTTTGAATAGCTGGAGGGCGAGTAGTCACATAGTAAGGCACGAGACTAACACCTGTATTCTAAAAGCTCACACTCAAAGAGTGGAGGTTCGATCTGAGCTTCCCTTGAGTGTCAATGCTGGTTTTGAATAGCGGGAGGGTGAGTAATCACATAGTAAGGTACGACACTAACCCTCCAGCTATTAAAAAACAGCATTGACACTCAAGGGAAGCTCAGATTGAACTTCCACTCTTTGAGTGTGAGCGTGAGTGAGCTTTTAGAATACAGACGCTAGAGCTTGAAATGTTCCCCGTAACAATACGTGACTGGCAACTCTCGTCAACTCTCATCTCAACTTTTTAATGTTTTTGAAGTTCATCATGCACCATCTTTTGTCGGGTAACACTTACTATAAAAGACTGAAACCTATCAATATACTTATCCTTTTTTTTCACAAACCTTAAACTGTAAATCATCTTTGGAACTTTGTCCATTGCTTAACCCCGACATTTGATTGTGAAGTTTATAATCCAACTCCTCTAATCTAAGTTGTGCTTGAGCAAGCTCTACATGAATGGGATTTTCCTTCGACTCCCCAGGCAGGGATGAATTCGAATTCCGATTTTCTTCCATCGAGTTAAAATAGTTGATACTGTCTGTGACGAATCTATTTTGCGTGCTCGCCTCCATATCTCGAAGTCTCAAGTCCCATCTTTCTAAGATATCGTAGACTATGACGCTGCCCAATGAGTGTGCGATTATCGAGACCTTGCCATTTTCACGAAACGTAGGGTGTCGGGATAAAAACAAGTTGTAGAGCTTGTTTAGCTCGTTTTTCACAAACACAATGATCTGAAAACGACAGAGAGCATTAGATTATGGTTGAAAATGAAACTGATCTCATTACAGACTGTATAGACCCAAGTCTACATTCTGTATTAACACTGGACCTATATATAAGGGGGACGTATAGGGGGAATTATATTTCAAGGTGCAGTGTAAGCAACTTGTGCAGTGATAATAATTGTCTTTCATATTTAAAATTCAGGTTATTCATTAAGGATCACTCGTTAGAAATTATTTTTAAAAGCACAATGACTGTTCGCATTGCCAACCAATTAAAAACCTTTCAGGCCATAAGCTAAATGAAACTATACAAGCTTTAATGTTTTTAACCATTAAAAAACTTTTCCCTCTAGGACCTCTTTTTTGGACCTCTATTTTTGGACCTCTATTTTTGGGCCTCTATTTTTGGACCTCTATTTTTGGACCTCTTTTTTGGACCTCTATTTTGGACCTTTTTTGGTCCTCTTTTTCGGACATTTTTGGTCCTTTTTTTGAACCTTTTTTGCATGCAACTTGCTTACAACTTGAGTTGTACTGTGTAAATCAAGCCACAACTCACCTGCGACAACGCAGGCAGAAAACTGTGTATAGCTATATCGAGTACAATAAAGTATAAATAAAATTGGATTAGTAATAGAATATGGAAATGGTACACACTGACCTCTTCACGGTAAAATGGACTAGTATAATACATAATGTCCATCATGCTGGTATTGATCACATTTCGTACGCCTCGTACAGTGTGCGGAGTAACGAGGTCAAGAACTCCTTCGTCCAGCTTCAGCGATGATCTCCATTCTACCGGGACAAATTCGACTCGACCTTTCTTGTTCTCTTCTGCAAAATATTTTTCTGCAATCTGCTTCGATCCACAGCGCAACCTGAACATAAAGAAATAGCTCAGGGTTTCACTGAGGGTAAAGAGTTGGGGCATCTTGTCCGATAGAACTGATGTAGATGGAAAATTTGCGAAGAACGCAATTTTGGAGGTGCAGCGCTCTGAAAAGGCGTCACCTCCCCGCGTTTCAAATAAAACGCCTGCTTTACAGGCTATTGGTAGCGCGGCTCTTTGTAGCACAGTTGGTAGGTCGTCGACCTACCTAATTATCTAGAAACTGAAGAGGTCGCTGGTTATCTTTTTTATTGAAACGTTTTTTAACATTTGCTCTTGAAACTAAATCTACATAATTTCAGAGCGCTGAGTGATATATGTACATATTTTTTATATAGATTTTTTCACCAGTTGTTGCTTGTTAGTAGTGCTTGAAACATCCCAACTTGCTGTCCTTTTAAAGGACAACAAAAATGAATTAAATGGACATTAGAAACGCTCCAAACACTTTCTTATTGGAGATAGAACACAAGGAATGTGGGAGTGATTTATTCGAATTATCTTTGCGCTGGAGGGGGACGATTAATGTATCGAAGTCTCCTGCCTGACTTACATATGGCAACATTCATTAATAGTGTTATTCATGAGTTGCCCAATACCATGAATAACAAACACCAAATGTGTCACATCAGCAGGACAGTCTGTCTCGCTGCATTCTGTGTGATAGCCGCGATGTAGGGGCGTGGCATGGACACCAGTTGAGCCCCCAATCTTTTGTACCATCCCGCGGATTATCTTCGATGTCATGCCTTCGCTATGTAACCACACCTCGGTGAGGTCAGTCCACTCGACATAGTAACCCGAGAGTTGTAGTCGACACAAAACTGCAAGGAATTGAATAGAGATTGAGATGATCACAAAAATTGTCAATTAATGAGGTCGATTATTTGAAGAATGACTGTACCAAATAATGAGTCACAAGGGCGGATCTAGCCTCATCTGTAAGGAGGGGTGCAGGTTTTCCATGAGGTGGTGCATGAGGGAGCTTTACTGGCCACTCTCCTCTGCAACGCTACTATCTTGACATTCCCATAATTTGAGATGGCCGAATCTGCATGTTCGCCGTTCTTTTACATATGTTTTGTTTATAAAGTTTATATCGGCTGTTTATCACGTAAGCGTGACTGGACAGTTGCTGTAGCACAGTATAGTAAATTTGCTTTGTAGCACAGTGTAGTAAATTTGCTTGTTAAAGTACAGTATATTTGAAAATATGGCTGTATAGCAACCTCGACATGTTTACATATTTAAACATGATATTTAACTAAAGCATTCCGAGTATTTTCTCGTGAACTCACAATAAATTGTTTCGAGAAATTGACACGTGTTAACAGTAGACGTTCCGCTAATCGCTATTTGAAAAACAAAAAATGTATGGTCAAGCAGATTTTTTAAGGTGCATGGTGCCTTGCACCCCACAGTAGTTCCACCCTGAGTCTGGGAATTAGGTATAAATATAATAATTTAGAAACGTTACCATTTTTGTTTTCTGCGTCATTAATGGTTTCACCAGTGTTTGATGTCATATTTACATGTGGGGCACCTGGATTTAACCCCTTGATAAGAAAGTTTAAAAATAACACAACTTTAAACTACATTTATTTGCTACCTGGACAGCATTGTCCTCTCTAAAGTTAGGGAACCAAAGCACTAAGAGAAAGTTTGCAGCAAGGCTGGATTTTGGTGGAAATGCTGGGGAAGGTGGAAATGGTGGGGAAGGTGGAAAACTGTTTAGGGGAGGTGCAGCAATCCTAGCTCATGGTTCCCCTGGAATGTTAGGGCTTAGAATGTACTCCTGCCCCCATAAAGTCAACTATGTGACATATGCACATATTTGTGAATTATGACTGGTACAACTTGACCAATTTTGCCATTCAATGCAAAGTTTCTTTTGAAAAATGTTTTTACAAACACAAAGAAATTTGTCAAATTTTAACTGCCATTCCCAACGGGAGATGCATGACTTTTCAGGGAGGTGCAAAGAATCTCAGGGGAGGTGCAAACCACCTCCCCTCAAAATGTGGCCATGCATGGCTTGCAGTGTTCATAAAGGTCAAACTGGATCTCAAGCACTCTTCTCACATGTGAATGAGGTGGAGATATAATCGTTCAAATGCATAATTATGCAAGAATGGAAAGAATTAAACCCAGTCAAAAAAGTGGACAGAACAGGCACTAATTACTGTACCACTACCAAGTATCATACAAACTAGTACCATAGATCGCCACAAAGTTTGATGAGAATTTTCAATAGACATTGCTTCTTCTTCACCAAGTGGAATCCAGTGATTTTCACTGGCGGAACCTTTGAACCAAGTACCTCGGCAGATTTGTAGAGGATCGGCTGTAAGGAATATTGATTGCTAAGTAAGGATTTACACTGTCGTCTTAACGAGTAAAATCATCTGCCGTTATGAGGATGTCAAACTCATGCCTGAAAGTATTTTTGTTATTTAATTAACTCCAGCTAATGTCAGATGATTTTACAGTTTGTCAAACAGAAGTTAGTATTCTGAGTGTGCAGAATGCGGACCTGTATCACAGAATAAATACTTCCGGAAGTCAAACTTCTTGTCAACACCTTTGATGTTATTTCATTTGTGAAGGTAAATTGTTGGGTCTGGTTTAACAAAACCAGTTTATCTGGCAATGGGTCATTCCAGAAAACATCCATACCACCCCCACGGAGGAAATAGGAAGTTAACCCCCTACCCCCTTCGGATGTCCTAATACATTTACTATTATCAGAAACAATTTTTTCTCCCCTCCCCCTCCGGACAGCAGAAATCTCCTCTGTGGGGGAAGTGGGGATCTTTTCTGGAACGACCCAATGTCTCTTGTTAACACATTAATTAAACTGTAATGCATTCTAATTTTTATTTTACTTTGTCCAAGGGGCTGTTTATATGAAAGTCAGGTTGGCGCTTAGTGACATCTCCCATTAAGCCCCGCGCTCCCATTGTTTTTCCACTGATCTCTATTCCCAACTGAAGCAACGAGGGACAAGGCAGTAGCGAGACAGCCCAGTAAGAGAGTAGTTACTTTTATAGTAGAAATTACTGTGTGTTAATATGGAAAAGCGAGATCACCATATATACACTCACAAGCAGGCTGGCCCAGTTGCCGAGATGAAAGTTCAAAGATGCTGCCGCAAGCTATTTTTAACAACTGTCAAAACAACAAAATTGTCCCGGCAAAGTGGGATGAAATTTTCTCATGTAAACACAAGCGAAATTCATATCCCGCTTACCGAGCTGTCCCACTAAGCGGGCCAGCACAGGTTCCATATAAAGGCTGTTTCCACTGCAACCTTAACTGTACCCTGCCACCTTTCATGTCAAAGTCATTTATAGATCCACTCGAATGCTCAGGAAACAAAGAAATACGCTACGGTACGATATCGTTGAAGTGGAAACGGCCTTCAGGGCTGCAAATAAATATTTGACTTGACAGGACATTTGTCCGATCACTTTTAATTTTGGTCGTACATAACTTGAATTTGGTCGGACAAAAACCAACACCACTAAATTTGGTGTCGGACATATATATACGTCACAAGATAAATATATATAAGTCACGAGACAAGTATGTACAGGTATAGCCATTCCGGCGCAATGTTACGTAAAATGCTAGAATACCTTGTAAATTTTATTGCAAAATGCAAATTGAGTGAATTTGCAATCGGATTTTGTCACAGCAAAAAAATGTATAATGTGACAATTTTTTTGTGATCGGACCAATGTCCGATCAAAATTACTTTTGCTCGGACATTTGCCAAATTTAGTCGGACATTGTCCGATGTCCGACAGTAATTTGCAGCCCTGGCATTACACCAGAGTTAATGTAATGAGTTAATAAATTAATGAAATATAAACAGGGCGCTTTATATAAAGTACTGAACCTTTCCAGTAAACGGGTTTACAAATACGTCTTGCAACGTCGGCATCGTAAAGTCCACCGAGCACCGTACACACTTCATAAAAATCTGGCAATGTTTTGACATCTTTTCTGGGCATGCGACGAAAACATTGCTCAATTTTTAACGAATCCTGACCACAAAAAGGTGACCACTTTTTGTCCTCGTAGTAAAACCATCTCACACGCTCTACGCGAAAATCGGACAGTTCCTCGTAGTGTCTTCGTACTGTCGAAGGTAGATCGTTTCTGACTTGCATAGCCCGTGGTGGTGGAGGTCTTGCTGGGCCCGTTTTCTTGGGTTTAGCTTTTTCTGATGTCAAATCATCCATTGATGTAATGTTTACTTGACCATGTAAATATGTTTTGATAAATTAAATGAGTGTCGGTACGTTTATATAGCTAGAAACTAGCAAAAATCTTCGTAGCTTAGCCACAAAAGCACGTTGTATTTCATTCACTGCACATATACGATGTTCATATGAAGTTTCGGCTCAAAATTGCTCCAAGAAATCGTGAAAATATTTAAATGGCAAAAAATATTTTTGTTGTTGTTATCGCGATTTAACGAAAACTTCATGTTATATCCATTATAGATTTATGCTGGAAGATTATGGAAATACCGTCGCTTGCATCTAGGAATGAACACTCGTATGTCTTAAATGTCTTCGGCTACACCGTCCCGGAAAGTACTCGGCATTGGCTATAGAGTCACGTTTTCGTGATTTGAGATATTGGGTTTAGAGTCTTTTATATCTTGTTGCAGATGAACACATTTACGAAATCATACTGTTACTATAATATAAGACCTTGATATAATTAGGTCATCAGTAACAAGATAATTAAAGGGCTCTAAAGCCGATATCTTCATCCGAGGCCCTATAACCAAGGCTAAGTACTTTCCGAAGGGGTATATTCCCATTTGAGCAGTATGCAACCGAACAGGTTTGCGTGCGGTCCAATTCTAAACGTAGTCTCAAGTTTTGAACTCGTTAAAGCTAGTTTTAGTTGAAGATCAAATTGCCACCTGTAAGATGAATGTTGTGTTCTCAATATTTAGCAATTTCGCATCAACACCCGGTCAGGTTTTTATAAACAACTTCGAGTTATAACATTCGATAACTGTATTAAGTATAATCCCTAATAAATACTATTAGATACGAAGGACTGGTCCACGAGAACGAAGATTAAAAAATTCACAAGGATTCCAAGGAACATGGAACAATGTCAATGAAGGATTAGCCATTTGAAATTTGGATTGAGTTTAATAGTGGGTACATGGTTTAAATTTGAAAGCTATGTCAAATGGAGAGCTTTCTGATGCCAACTTGGATTTTGAAAAGCAAGATTCTGAGGTTCATGAAGAAAAAACGGATTGTGAAATTGAAAAACCAAGCTTAAGTAAATCTAGAGTGTTATTGTTAAACGTTTCATGGTTTGGACTAAACGCCATGTATCTTGTGTTGTCTATAGAAGTTTTTCCGAGTCAAGTACACGCTCTAGTTGGCTCTGAAGATAAAGGTCAAGTCTTGGGTGCAATGATAGCTCTTGGCGCTGTAGTTACATTCTTTGTGAGCCCTTTAATTGGCATGAAAAGTGATCGACTGGTTTTCAAATATGGCCGGCGGAGACCTTTCATGATTGCCGGTATGGGGTTACTTGTTATAGCCTTGTTCGGGATGGCTTTCAGCGCCCCATATGTGGAAAACGAAAAGGATAACTCGACTTGTTCGATTGGATTGGAAATCAAAAGATGCTTGCCGTATTTAAACCTCACGGTGCTTGAAGAAGAGGAAAGAAATAACAGCGCAGACGTTGACGTTTTGCTCAATATTTTATCCCAAAAAGACACCGAGGGAAATGTAGTCATGTATGTCATATTCTACACAATGGTCATGGCGTGCTATGCACTTGTTAGTGTACCGTATAACGGTCTCATTGCGGACTTAACGCCACCTCTACAACGCGGGCTAAGCTCGGGGGTCATGGGTGCTATGACATTGGCGGGAAACATAACAGGCGCTGCTATCGGTTTATTTTTCTTCCGTCTTGGTGTCGTTGGGATATACTCATTGGTCTGTTTAATATTCGTAGTTTGTGTGCTAATAACAGTACTTTGTAGCCACGAAACACCGCTGACAGAGGAGCCCGAAAGCTTGGGTTTCAAAGGGATATTTCTCGCTTACTGGGAACCTTTGAAAGACGCCGATTTTAGATGGGTGTTTTTGACTAGATTTCTGATGCAACAGGGCGTTGCGACTGTGACGGGCTTTCTAGAATTCTGGTTAAACGATATGGTCAGTCTACCGCATTGCTGGTCCCCAGAAAGATCCGTGGCAATCATTCTTTTGCCCCTGTTGCTAGCTGCTGCGGGCGTCTCAATTATAGCAGGATTTCTATCAGACGCTTTGCAGCGGCGTAAACCTCTGGTCACGGGTTCGGCGATTCTCATGTCTATATGTGCCCTGATATTCGCTTGTCTCAAAGGCAAGTATGCGTTTTATGCATCCATACCTGTCGCGGTCGCGTTTGGTGTCGGTTTCGGTGCGTATTGTGCGATCGATTTCGCTTTGGTCATGGACGTTTTGCCGAAAGATAAGGACAAAGCGAAAGACCTTGCCGTGTGGCATCAAGCGCTGGTTCTACCACAAGCCATTGCTACCCCCATCGGTGGAATAATTTTAGATGTTTTTGAAAGATATGACTGCCACATGGGGCTAGGGTATATTATATTGTTTACTGTGACTTCTTTTTACTTTGCGCTAAGTGGGATATTTGTGATCAAGATAAAAAAGGCGAAATAAGCCAACTGTAATACAGCTAATTCGAAAAAGGTTGTCCTTTGCAACTTAAACTCAAAACCTTAAACCTTAAACTCTAAGCGTGCAAAGCATAATGGGCCGAACATCATTTAATCAGTTTAGAAATCATACATGCTACTTACGAGAACAATTCATTCACAAACAGTTGCAATTTTCAGCTACCAAGCTTGAAACTCGTGCTCCCATTAAGCTTTGCGCGCTTACAGTCGTTTAAGGTCATGGGCGTACGGGAAGGAAACAATTAGGGGGGGGGGGGGAAAGAAATTTGCCCGACTTTTTCGCCGGATTGTGCCCGAGTTGTCAAAAAAAAAATTCCCGAGAAACTTTCCAAAATTGTTGCCGACGGGGGGGAGGAGTGATTATTGACAGAATTTGTCCCATTTATTTTTATAATAAGCCAATATTGCCCGACTGTGAAGCGAATATTGCCCAACTGGCTTTGTTTGCCCAACAAACTGGGGGGGGGGGGGCTGCCGCACCCCCCCCCACCCGGTACGCCCATGTTTAAGGTTTAGAGTTTAAAGACTTTAAAGGCTGATTTCCACTGTTGCGTTTTTCGTACGCACGTACACGTACGCCAGTAAAACTTTGAATCCTTTTATTTTTTAAATATTTTACAAATAAGTCAACAAATGCATACTAAAACTTGCGGAACACTAAATTCTGTTGCTTTATTTATTTGGTTATTTCATAAGTAACTTTTAAACGGATTTAAAGTTCTACGTGCGTATACGTACGTACGAAAAACGCAACAGTGGAAATCAGCCTTAATTAAGGTTTGCAAAGGACAACCTTTATTGAATTAGCTGTACACAGGGTGTATAAAAACAAACGAGATCTTTAGAAATCAAGCTATTGTTGGAATTTGAATGCATAGCAGTATACGTGCGTCAGAAACAGAATCGGAAGTGAATTTTATGCATGACGAAGTTATCTCAAAAACTTTAACTTTGGTTTCTTCTAACATATATGAATTATGTTGAATTTTTCTGTGTTGGTGTTATGTACTCAGGTGAATATATGATGTTTGTGATGTTACTCTGAGTGTATATCCACACCGGGCAAGCTTGAAAAATATGCCTGACCACGGTGGGAATCGAACCTACGACCTTAGGAATACTAGCCCAATGCTCTGCCAATTAAGTGAGCTACGCGGTCTGGTTGGTTCGAGTATGTGATATTTCGGAACTGAATCTAGTTCCTTCGACATCAATGCAATCTACACAGAAAATTCATGATTTTCTGTGTAGATTGCATTGATGTCGAAGGAAAATTCATGATTATTATAGATTGCATTGATGTCCAAGGAACTAGATTCAGTTCCGAAATATCACATACTCAGTCGAACCGACCTGACCGCGTAGCTCACTTGGCAGAGCATTGGGCTAGTATTCCAAAGGTCGTAGGTTCGATTCCCACCGTGGTCAGGCATATTTTTCAAGCTTGCCCTGGGTTTAGTTGATGTTTGGAGGGACGTTTGGAGGGACAAGAAGTTATAGTGAGCGAGCTAAATATATATTAATAAAAGATGCCTTATTATAATTGTTGCGTTTCACGCTGCACAAATAACTTTAGGAGTGTAGGAAAACTTCCTAGATGCCATATTCGGCTTATTGTTCATTTTTTGTCCCTCCAAACTATGCTCCAAACAAGCGACTAGACCCAGTCCTCTGCTCGATTGAGAAATGGCTAATAGCTTGATCTTTTAAATCAAATAAATGTCTCGTTTTTTTATACACCATGGCAGTATAGGAGTTATTTCAGATTTACATATGGTATAGAATACTGAAAATAAATAGTTTGTCAAAAAAATTAGTGTATATTCAGAAAAAAAACTCAATGCCGATGGGTTTCTAGTCTGTACAAAATAGTGTAGCTATATTTTTAGGGTCGTGAGCATAGAAATAGAGTATATCTATTATTTCTATGGTCGTGAGCCAGGCTAATTTGGCGATAACAATAACTTCTGGCAACCAGGGTAATTTGCCAAATATTTTTTGTTATTTTTGCGGAGTTGTCAGTTTGGTCTGTACTCTGTTTAGCCAGTTGCACACGCGCACATTCACTAATCACTAAATTTTAGTTAACGCGGATTACACTGAAAACGTCACCACTTTCACAATAGAAACTGTCAGATCTGTCGGCTATACTTGACTCTTTTAGTTAACTCAGGCCCGGAGCTACGGGGGGGTGTGGGGGGGTGTGACACCCCCCTCCAGTAATTGTATTCAGTCGGCAGGACTGCTATTCAGTCGGTAGAACTGCTATTTGGGTTAAATATTTTTTGCGCAAAGGGCAAGAACGTGGTGGGAATTTTAGGAAAATTTTGAGGAAAAATGTAAAAATTTTGGAAAAATGTAAAAAAATGTTGGAAATTTGTTATGTGCGGAAAATTTTTGAATGTTCCGGAAAATTTTTTTACGTCCGGAAAAATTTTTTGACCCCTAAAATGGTACACTGACCGAAATTTTTTTGGAAAATTGTACACTGACCGAAATTTTTTTGACCTTATTAAACCCCCCCTGAAGAATTTCCTGAGGACGGCCTTGAGTTAACTATACACAGAGTTCTAGGAGGGTTTCGGAAATTTAATTTAGATCTCCATGGGCGTATGGGCCTAATCTTTTTTGGAGGGCACAGTACGCCCATGTAGGCCGGTACGCCCATGAGAGTCTCTCGGAAAATGGCTTTCCTCCGTTCTAGGAAAGATTCAAATGACTACCTCATAACCATAACCGCACGACTGAAACTGATCCTAAGTCCTAACCACCCACATCAACTGTTTCTAGCCCATGACCGCCGTCAAAAACCAACTCCGGCCTGCATTTATACAATTACAGGCTGTTGTGTTGGGCTGTTTTGAGATTACCCGCTGCGACTTATTTAGTTACTTCGTTATCCGTCTAACTCAAACGACTCAAATGACTCAAAGATTCAAATGATTTTGAATCATTGTCATTTTTTGAATCATGAGTCATTTTTCGGCTCAAAACTTCAAAATTCAAAGATTCAAAACTGCGGCCATGTTGTAATTATGAGCCTGCAACTGCGATATAACTTGTACAATTATATTGCTTGCTAACATGGAATTTCGACTTTGTGATGTTGAGACAATAATGCAAATTAGCAAAAACCGCCGGCACAGAATAACTGATAAGGAAACGAACCCGCCGGTATTTCACTAGCCAAATTTTCGGCACATTGAATGTTTTAGAAAAACCTTTTCGGTTTAAAAATTTATTTCGGTTTAGTCCAGACATTCCAACTACTGGAGGTAAAATTTAGGGAGACTGTTCAGTGAATTGAAATCTAGTTCGAGATCTATAGTTCTTCTGGGAAAAAATAATAAAAATTAAGTCTTCTGAAATGGCGTTTCCTGCATTTTGCGACTATGTTGTTATAAATGATCCTATAAATTGCCATAAAGTAACTTCAAAAAAGGTCCGAGACAGACTATTATGTCGCTAAAAACAGTATATTTATAATTTTTTTATGATATTTCCTGAATATTCTGAAAAATCGGGAGAATTTGATAAAAATCGGGAGACCGGGAGATTGCATTAATTTTCGGGAGACTCCCGGTAAAATCGGGAGAG